TCTGAGTTAAGTCGCGGCGTTAGGAAATATACTTTGGTTCTTGAATCTTAATTCGTTCTATATAGGTAACATGTGTTAGTATAACTTTTTAAACAAGTCTTTGCAATAACAGTCGAGTGCTATTCACGTATAGATATATTAATTTAAGTAACTAAATAATTGTGTATTTTACGTGTTTTATTCTTCTCTCGACTCTATAGGAAGCTCCCCCTTTGCACAACCTCTGTAACATGTAATCTATATTAGTTGTTCCTTTAAATCGACCTTTGAAGTGAGTCGACTTTTTGTTACCTGTAGGAATATTATTAGGAAACTTATTAGTTATTGTTAATATGTTCAATACTAACTGTTACGGCAATATGACGGGTACGTCTTCCTCCTATTCTTCCTCCGTTTATCTTGTCACAAAATAACAATAACAAAAAAGGTATTAATCTGATAATCCATATATTAATAGGCCATAAAATATTCATTATTAAAACACTTAGAAGGAATTATTGTATTATTGTATTATTTGTTGACCATCTGACATCCACTATACTACGGTACACGTACAATATTATAATAGGTATGACAAAATATAATATTTTACATTTGCGGTTACAGTTCAACAGTTATTTTCTTACAATTATTAAACTTCTTATTTCTATTTGTATACAATACGATATGCTCAGATTTTATATTTATACTAACAATTATGTGTGTCAATATCTTTTATTCGGAGTTAAATCGGTGTTGAGATTATATTAAAGTTCTTGAATCCTAATTTGTTCTCCATACCTAAGTGTTTGTATAATTCTTTAAACAAGTGTTTGTAATACAAGACGACACTGTGTATTTGTTCTAACATTTTCATTTGTTATAAACTTATGAACATGTTTTTTTAAGTAGGTAACTCTCGACTCCAGGCATAAGTGCGCCCTTTTGCACAATCACTCGTTAACAATATTATAATGCATAGTTGTTCCTTTAGATCAACTTATTATACACTTTTGAAGCAAGTCGGATTTTTGTTACCTGCAGCAGAAATACCATAAGAAAACGTATTGTTAATACAATATTAATTGTTAGACAGTATGACGCGGGAGTCTTCCTTCGTTAAGCCAGTAATAAATTCATGATGACAAAAAAAAAAGTATTGAACCATACAATTAATACATCATAAAATAATAAATATTGAAACATTTTGAGGGAAGTGTATTAATTATTTACCGTCCAATACTTATTGTATTAGTATTCACAATAATATTATGAAACGTGTCTTTGCAAGGGGCTGTCGAACGCTCAATCCGCAGAATAACTCTGAATGTACTTACCGGCCGATGTTGCTAGCTCTCGGATGGGTGACCATCCACCTTTTTTAGTAACACATATCCTTGCACACAAACAAAAACCCTTGTTACAATCCTACCAACATACAAACCTACTAAACCTATACAAAATACTCCCTACCGTACCAACCCACACACCCAATAGCCTATGTGGAGACGGGTTCCCAATAATATTAATAAAAACAAAATATATTAATTATGATAATACAACATATAATATTATACATTTGCGGTTATCGTTTTATGGTTATTTCTTACATTTATTTTATACTAAATACTAATACATTTTATACAATAAGACATTCTTAGATTTCATATTTTACATTATCATCCATTATTATATGACATTTAATAGTTAAGAACTTTAAGAGAAATTAAAGGGGTTTCTTTTAGATCTTAAGTTCTATAAACAATTAATGTATTTTATTTTAAGAATATAATATCAATTAATAATAGGCAAATATTTAACCAGAATAATTTTCTCATTCTATCTAGAATGATAATATTAGTAAGACTAGGTAGGTATTATAAGTTCATACCAACGTATCATAAAATGGAGGAAATAGAATTGAGATACAAATGGTTTAAAATTAAGAACAGTGAGTGGGCTGCAGTTACGGACTGATACAAGGAATGAGGTGAGCAGCGATCTGGTTGTAATATTTTAGAGACCGCTTTGTGTTTGAATGTATCTTTATTATTTTGAAAATTAAATTGTACTTACTTAATAATAATAATAAACGTAATTGCGAATATTAAAATTACAAGTTACAATAATAATAACTAAAAGCTTTACGTTGGTCAAGATTTAAACTTTAAATATCATACAACGAAATTATGCACATATTATTTTCTATGTTTTTAAATGTAAAAATATTGAAAGTATTTACGTTTATTTTTTTTTCAATCGGAACAAAATCGATTTCGTCGAAAACTGGTGTTGCTTAAATATCTCTATCGCTATAATATATATACAGTTAAATATATATTTCAGTATTTCGTAATATTTTTTTATTTTGTAAAGAACTGGAAACTTTCTACTTTTAAGTTATCAAAAAAAAAAAAAAATATATTTATTAAAAAACACGCTACGTTGCAAAACTTAATACATTCGAGTCGCTCCACTCAGAATCCCAAAACTATTTGTTTATTTCTCGATACTAATATAGTAAATTAAAAAATGATTAAATATACATGCATTTTCTGTCACACTATGGAACTATAAATATAGGTAACCATTAAAGGATTAAATTGTTGACGATCGGCAAGTACCTTAATTTTTGCAAAAAAGTTTATTTTGAAATAATGACGTGTGTTCGGTGTTTACTGTTAAAATAATTACTTGGTATAAACTATGAATGCAATTATCACATAATAATTTAGATTGATCATATGGTATATGGCACATTATATTACGACACATATTATAATATAAGGTTTCGTGCTGTAGTTAATGTTATGATATTCCTTAAGTTTTACATGACGACTTAAATAAAAATTTCTTATGGCCGTTATTAATTTTATAATGTAACTGCTTTGCTTTGGGCTTCTTCATAAAACGTTGTTGCCTTTCTTTTTCGTTATTAGATTTATTTTTCTAAATGTTAATTAGGCAGCTATATATTGGTCGTAACCTTTAGCAGTACCGAAATCGTTTACAAGGTGATTTACCAAGCATGGTGTTCACCCCCTTTCCCCCTTTCCTAGCGATGAGTATTGATTCTACAACAATGATGATTTTGACTCTTTTAAAGCTATATAATATAAACATATTACATTTTCGATTTTTTTTTTTTTTTTGATTTTTTTTTCCCAAGAATTTCTGTTTTTTTGCTCGGTCAAAAAGCTTGAAAATTTAATAAAAGTCGTTGTGAGTTGTTATTAAAGCTATTAAAAAAAAAAAGATTTTTTTATAATTATTTAAAGTTCAAATTTTTACGAAGTTAGATATTTAGACGTTACTTAACTATTTAAATTATTTTCTTGTGATTTAAAAAATTTATTTGAGGGAAATTGAAACGTTTGAGTATATTTATATATATTTCATATTCATGATGACGTTTTCAAAACATTTAGATTGATTTTAAGGTGTTGCCTACCACAAACCTATTCACACAGTTCTACGGTAATGTGATACTGACTCAAAAGTTAGCAACAATAATAAATGATATAAATAAAAATATATACTTTGTATTATTTATAAAATTATTCATCTAAAATATGTTTGTTGCCTAAAAAATTAATAATTCAAAAATAGTTCTTAGAGATATTAGAAAAGTTAAAGAGCACTTTAAAGCTATAATATCTGAATTGAAGTACTTAGATATAATGCCATATTTTATATTAATTGATCAATTTTTCTCTGTTAAGTATGGTCATACAGCTAGTATAGTAAATACAACGTTTTTGACAAAAACTAAATCAACCTACCATAATATTAATACTAATAGTATTATAAATAATTTAATATAGCTACATCAGAAAACATAATATCAAATCTTCTAGGCTGACACATACACTTTGCTCAGAATCGCTTTTTGTGTGCAATGATTTTTCATTGAATTCAAATTTAATCATAAATAATGTAATAATATAATCGATAGTCTATTCCTATAATTTACTAAATACACACGGGGCAGAGTCCCCGAAGTTTTGATAGAACAATAACATTGTTACCAATTGTAACTAATAGGTAACCATTTTGACTTATCACCATATGTACTAACAATTTTTATCAAATAAATAAAATTTATTATTCTCTATTTGAATTATAAATCATTCGATTATTTTAAATACGGAGTTTGAACAAATGTATACTGACGTATTGCTTCCAAAATTATTAAAGTACAATAATTTAAATAAAACAATAAAAAAGATAAAATTACTTGTTCATTGTACAATAATTACGTATATTATCATTCTGGAACTATCGGAGAAGGCTGATCCATTATATATTATATATGAATTTAATACATAAATCACAGTGACTCACTCAATAGACGAGGTACACTCGACACCTTAAAACTGTACTTCTTCTGTTTTAGATTTTGAGCTGAGTGATAAATGTATATTTCTTTAGTAAGCAGTTATTCAAAATCTGATTTTTGGAAATTTTAAATATAGTACTTAATTACCACAGTTTCGAATATTTGAGATTGTTTTGTACCATTTGAGGAGTGTTCTGTTGCGATACAAACTTCTGTTTTCTTATGAACACCGCCCTTTTTGCTTTGAAGTATTCAGCAGATAATATTTTTGAAAGTTTGTATGTACCTTAATCAAGATTTGAACTAGTAGCTACTAGTTGTTGACTTATTAAACTTTACGTACATAACTTTTGTTAGGGGAAAAAAGAGAGATGAACATTCTTGGAGAATCATACCGTATGGCTCGTTAATATTTAAAAATCAATTTTTTTTTATTCATAATATAACATAAATTTTAGTGTAATATAATAATGTAATAATGTAATTTAATAAAAATATATTTTTGATCATGTAGTCCAATGGCTAGTAGGTACCACAAAACGTTTTTGTTATGCCTGTTCTGATTGGATTTTATATAAATAATAATTACGTACCTACACTATTTCTGTATCATAATATAATAGTATGTTGTTATGTTGTATATGGTACTATGTATTGTAAATTGTGTTTTGTTGACTTGCAGATAGTAATTTCGTGCTCGGAAATGCTCAAGTGCCATCACTGTATCCGATAGTGTACTGTTCAGACGGATTCTGCGAACTCACTGGGTTTGCCCGGGCGCAAATTATGCAGAAGGGTTGCGCCTGTAAGTTTCTATTTGGTCCAGATACTAGTGATGACCATGTTTCACAAATCGAAAAGGCATTAGAATGCAAAGCTGAACTGAAACTGGAATTGATTTTCTACAAAAAAAATGGTAAGTGAACAAATGTCATCTTTATACATTACACAACATTATAAAGCTGCCATAAAATTATTAACTTTCATGTTTGAGTTTAAAAAAAAAATTTCAATTTTCAATTCAAGTGAATATGATAATTATTTTTAAATTTAATGAGGTTAATTCAATTACGTGATAAGTATACGCGTGTATGGCGTTTGTAAGTATAAACTAATTATTGCACTGTAGTGCACTGTACTTAACGTTTTAACCATAATTAAAAAAAATTATTTAAATTATAAATCTTACACATGTTTAGTTCAAATATTTATTTTTAAATCGTTGTTTCAGCATAAACAACTTTTTATTAGTATTTACCTCAGTTTTCTTCTTGCCATTACATTTGGTGGCCATGAAAACAAACTTTAACCAAATGTAAATTATATTATTTCATGATTAATAATCCTATGAAATATTTAATGTTTTTGTTGAAAATAATATAATATTATTCGGATAAGATATTGCCTGGTTCACGGTTAAAAAAATCGCAACTGAAACATCGTTTTTAATTATTTCAATATGAACATGAAATGATTTACCTCAATGTTTGAATAGGTATATTAGAACAGTGAATTGTTCACAATAAGATATAGGTACGCTATTTTTTATCTTCAGATTGATTAAATTGTGCCGTGTTTTTATATTTTATCTGCAATAACTAAAAATTATCGGGTCGAGAGTAAAATTGGCCTTTTTATCAAGCGTAATTTACCAGTCAGTTCAGTTAATTTTTCCGTACAGAATGGCAGATGTGACAGTATGTGGCTATGCACAAAAAGCTGGACTTAGCTCATAAAAAAGTTCAGATAACAGGATAATACAACAGGTTTTCGGCAGTTGAATATTGAAAACGTGCCAGCCAGATCTACAACAGCCGTCTACGAATATGCAGATTGAGATTTTTTGCCAAAAATAAAAGCTGTGAGGCCAGTGGTATTGGATAGTGGATCAATCTTTATATTGTTAAAGAAAAGTATCTTGGAAAAAATAGGATATCGGAGTATCCTGATTTGTCAGTTATCAGCCGACGTTAACAGGCGAGAAAATCGACTGAAAAAAAGAGTTGTTCATAATGTCCATTTTAAGTAAAAATACATGATATAACAATATATATGATTGTTTATGATGAAATAAACAATATTTTTAAGTATGAAGATAATATCTTAAAATCTAGGTGTGTCTATCTGATAAATGTATTACTTGAAATTTAAACACAAACGGCAAAGTTTAGATCCACCATCAAAGTTGAAGTCAAAATCATCAAGACTAAATTATAAACTCGAAGCATTTACCTACCTACGACTTCTGGGCTAATTAATACTAAAAAACTGAGTTTAAAGCCACTCGTAAAAGGTAATCTTAGATCTGGTGTAAGAAGTTGGAAACTACCAACCTATTTCTTCTAGAGTTTTGAGACAAATAATAATATTATGTACCACTATTTAAAACTTTAAAAATAAATTATGCATCATTAAACTTTCGCCTGGAAGAAAGTGAGTGCAAATCTAACATCAAAGCAAATTCCTTTATGGGACAATTTATTAAAAACTTACAAGATAAGTATCTCAAGTAGTAAGATTGTACATTATTCAAACGGCTTAGATGATCAAAACTGAGACGGATTCCATATTACCTATGTCGTCAGTATCGAAAGATGAAAAGTTGCAACGTTAAAGGTCTTTTTATCTTACACTTTAATTATTTTCCACTATAAGTAAGTAGTTAATTAGTTAGAAGTATTTTAATTTTAAATGAGCGGTGTTGAATGACATGGTGGTACACCGTAAAATGTTGGTTTACTATTCCACTCATCAAATTTGAAATATTCTTAAGTTATAAAAACTAATTAATAACCAATATGGTTAAAAATTAAAATTGGATGAATGAAAATACTCAAAAAAATATTTCGTATTGGAATATAAAATAAAAATGTTTGTTTTTGTTCAAGAAGGTTAAAAATAAAAATAAAAATAAATATTTAAAAAAAAAATATATATATTTTATAATTATTTTCTTGTCATGATTTCAATTTTGTACAGAAAATATTTTTGGAAATGTTAATATTATATAGGTTGTATTATAATATCAATTAATTATATCTCTGTGTTGTTTTATAAAACAGTTTTGTTTGTTTCATTTTTAAATTACAGTTGATATTACAATTTCTAGATGCAGAAAAGGGAGCTTTTGGTCACCGTGGCGAAGCTCCCTTAACTCTATTAGTTACATATTAGATATATTGAAAAATATTTCTTTAAAACTGTTATAATATTTATAATATGTTCTATTTTTATATAATGAGACATGACTTTATCATGAACTCAATATATCGATATTGTTCAGCGTACTGGACGTTTTCGTGACATCTCATGTTTCTGATACAAATCAATGTTTTAATTTTATCAAAATGTAGATTAATGATTGAAACACTTATTATGTTCAAAATCAACCGATGATAACACTTAATAGTATACTACTTATTGTTTAAAAACCAATTTGTTCGAGCATCGGCATTTGACGACATTGAATAAGCTTTCCTTCTTTTGGAATTTTATATTATTTTCCGATTTGTCGTCGTATCTATGTAGTAGTTGGTAAGCAGCCGAAATAAAAATATAATATACCTAACTGTTTTGCATATGTCATAATAAGGAAGTATAAATTATAAAATAAATAAATATTAATTTGTATTTTAACAACCTGAAAATAAACGTGTTGCAATATTGTGGAAATTACCTTAAAGTTGGTATATGTAGTATTTATACTGAACTGAAATAAATGAAAAAGACCCTTTTGTCGCATAACACAAAATATATAATTCTATAGTAGAATAAACGTGAATGTATAATACATTATAACGAAGTCGAGTGCGTTCGATTTCGTGTGACAAACGTGAATAATAGTGAAGACTGAAGTTCCTATAAACGAAAACACGAGAATTGAGCAGCTTAAGTGCTGGTTTTAGGGCGAAATCACAAAGTTTTTTACCTTCTCACAGCTGTAATATAGTTATATTATGTTGCAATACATATAATTTTATCGATGCCATAATATAAATATATAATTATAGTTATTTTATTGTATTCACAATTATTAGAAGCAATTTTATATTCAAAAAAAGAGAAAAAAATAGTGAAACACTCGACTCATCGACTCAAAATCAAAATATCTAGGTACCTATTCGATGTGTTGAATTGTTAAACGTGAAATATTTTACAAGAAGAAGAAAATAGTGATTTGCTTGAAGTTTTTAATGTGCATTTCATTGTTTATTTGCATACAGAATGCCTATAAGAAAGGATGCCCTGTTATCTGTTATTAATCAATGTAATGTGCAAGGTTAAAATCGTACAAAACAAAACCATTTTTAATGAAAAATGATTTATTCAAATTGGGAGTGTTGAACTTTTTTTTACACTTATGAGAGGATGGCGCAATTCCGATGTAAAATACGAAAAAATGTTGAGCATATTATGGGCTAGGACAAAAACAAAATATTATACAACTATACGTCATGAAGTCATAGAATTTGAACTGGAAAAAATATTATACTCTTTTCTTCAAAATCACACAGGCTACGCACTTGTTATACTATGTTCTATAATATGACAAATATAGTTTGTTAAACGAGTACAACACATCTCTCATCAAACGATGCAGTTGTTGTTGAACAATAAAATGTTGGTTAGCCTTAGCTGTACTATAATAATATAAACCTTTTTATTCAAATCCTCTAGTATGGGAAGAGAGGAGGAGGCTCAATTTCGATGTGAAAGACAAGAAAATGTTAAACATATTATGGACCAGGCGTAAAACATAATATTATACAAAAATTAATTATAATACAACCTATACATGAAATTGTAGAGTTTAATCTTGAAAAAATATTATACTTGGCCTTCCCAAATGGCCCATTTTGCACCCATGGTATACTTAGATATACCAATATTATATAATTTAAAGATAATCGTTCGTTAAACGAGTAAAACAAGTCTATCATCAAACGATGCAGTTATAGCCAAAAAAAATGTTGGTTAACCCTAGCCATGCAGCCGTGTGTAGAGGTTTAGGCATGGACCGCAGCTGTCACTTCAGGTGAGCACAAGAAATACGACCCAAAAGACTTCGACGAACTTCGGCGACCGGTTCTAGATGTCTTAAATCCAGGAGTGCTTTTGAGATAAAGACTGTTGTGGGATCGATTTAATTGCTGGCGACGGTCGTTCCGGCAACGTACAATAAGAAAAATTTGTTCGCGCAGACTGCTAACAAAACAATAATATAAAATGTAATACTAATCGTATACTGAAGTAAGTTTAATAATATTCAGTGGCTAAAAAATCATGACAATTAAATTGGAAATGGTTCATAGGCGATGGTGCTTATCGGTGACAATCATCTTTGGGCTGTATTGTTTATGTATTCCAAATATATAGTAATATTGATTTTAGATTAACTTAATAAACTATGTTAAATTATTTTATACCTGTTAAACGATGATTAAACACAAACATTTTAGATCAACTACACTTCAAATTTGAAATGTATTTCGAGAGAATCTAACAATAGTCAGAGCACTTATATTATGTACAGCTTTTCGTTGTTAAATTGGAATATGTGAATCCTGCACGTTCTTGATATTATAATAAACGTGATGGCTCGAGGCCTAAAGCTTATGTCGGTTTTTATTCTTATTTTTTTTTTGTATTCATGTTATTATAATAATCAACGTTTATCAAGCTGTATTTCTTCAATCATTTTAAATAGGTATTTTTAAAAAAGATGAAATTTTTATTCAATTTTATAAAAATAATAATAATAATAATTTCATGATGATTAAAAAAAACACATTAAAAATATCAGATTAAGTTAAAAGTTTATTCCTAAAGTAACTAACTATTTAATTAACTAAACTTTAGTTTTTAATTTTTTGATGTCCTTGATTCGTTATTGGCAATATGCTTGATTTCATAAAA